GAGGAGGTGGTCACACTGTGAGGGGAGGTGGTCACACTGTGAGAGGGGAGGAGGTGGTCGCACTGTGAGAGGGGAGGAGGTGGTCACACTGTGAGAGGGGAGGTGGTCACACTGTGAGACGAGAGGTGGTCACATGTGAGAGGTCACACTTCAAGAGCAAATGTCCAAAAATCTCTTTACAATCTAGAGCAGTGTTTGCCTTGGATAAACTTTAAAATTTCCATTTTGTGATCTTATACTACTTACCCCAATGTCAGAACAGCATCATACAATGAGTTGAAAATCTTCTATAATTTTATTAAGCTCATTGTTTTATTTTGGTTTGATACAATTGTCCAGAAAAATTAAGGAAGAAATAATAAACCTCCTATACATTGCAGAATATATCCATGCGGACACATTGGTGGCACTCAAAGTCTTCATCACCTCTAATACATAGCTCTGGGCATCAGCTGGCTTTTCCCTCTCACTGCCTCTGTGGGGCTGTTTTAAATCCGAATCCCTGGGACCTCCACCGACTGCTATTCAAAATGCTGGGTGTATCTATCCATGTCTTACTCAAATAACCAAGTGATAATTACATTACACCTACATACAGCTTTAAATCTATTTTTCTATCTATAAGTTCTTACCATTAATAAATCAATGATCCATTAGAATCCTGCAAATAATCACTTTTTCTTTCTGTTCATAATAAAAAGAATTATTGGAAGTCAAAATAAATATACAAAGTCCACGTGACTCCTCCTTTAGGGTGATGTTCAAGGATCGCAGCGTTGAAAAAGCATACAGCTCAAACCTGGGTGAGGTGCGTTTTATAACGACCCTACTATGGAGCGGGAGATAACGTGGCGAGGAACCAAATATAGTGAAATGTCCACTGTAGAGTCCAGATGGGGTGTGTGTGCAGGTGTTCACTGTACGGTTCTGTCAACTTACCTCCATGTCTGAAAATTTCTATAATGAAATGTTGGGAAAATCTCTACTATGTTATAGATACGCACAGCATATGATTCTCAGCTTCAAATAACTTTATTCACCCTGAGTCCTGTCTTTAAAAACATCAATGAAATTGGACTTTATTACGAATTTATTTCAAAGTTTTAGAATCCTATTTCTTGGGGATTGTAACCAAGTAAACTAAACTATCTAGGAGTTTTCAAGTAAAAATGTTTAATCACTTCCTTTCTTATTTTTAAAACAAACGTGATCTACAGACAATTTTTATCTGAAAATTAAGGGCTTGAAATTACTAAATCCCTGGTGAATCTTGAGGACATTATGCTAAGTGATCTAAGCCGGTTGCAGACAAACACTGTACGATTCCACGCGCATGAGGCACCTATAGTAGTCCGAATGATAGAGACAGAGAATAGAATGGGGGCTGCCAGGGACCTAGGGGAGGGGGAGATGGAGAGTTGCCGTTTCGTGGGGACAGAGTTTCTGCTTGGGAAGATGAAAACAGTTCTGGAGATGGATGGTGGTGATGGTTGCACAGCAATGCGAATGACTTAATACCACTGAACTGTACACTTAAACATGGTTAAAATAATACATTTTAATGTTATATATATTTTGCCACACAAAAATAATTTTTAAAAAATTTAAAAAAAAACAATTAAAAATAATTCTTAAAAAGCTAGAAAAAAAATTACCATCCTGGGGGAGCCGAGCACGATCTTTTTTCCATTATAGCGAAACTGCCCTGTTACTGCGCAGACCAAGTCATGTCCATGTCTGGCCTCTTACTGTGTTTTACAGGAGGAAGACCTTCCTTCCATAGAACAGCTGGTCCATCAGATAGAAAATGGAGAAATAAACCTGACGGAGAAGCCCAGGACGTACCTCAAAAGAGTTTTCCAGGACACCATCTACAAACCCCTGGTGGAGAGGAGCATCCTGAACTACCTGCAGTATAACCATTACCACCTGCCCATGTACGCGTGGCCAGGCATAATTTAGCTGTGGCCAGGGTCTCCTCTTTATTATTTTCATACTTGTAATTCCTAGACGTGCTCTGTGGAAATAGAAAAGGTCTCCGAAGCCTGTCTTGACAGCGAAGTGCGAAGTGCCCCCGAGATTTTGTGGAGTCTTCTCCGCCTCTATTTATGCCTGTAGCTTCCTGTCGCTCCAGTAGGTGGCGCACGGCCGTGCGTCTCTATGCTGGGGCAGGACGCTTTACAAATACTAAGCATGTTCCCGCGCAGAATAATCCATTTTAGCAATAAAACGAGATCACACTGTGTAAAACTTCTTTTTTACCTTGGGTGTGATTCTGTTTTGATTTCCTGGAATTTTCTGCGGCCACTCTTGTTAGTTCTTCTCATGTTTATTCAGTAATACTTGTGGGTGATAAAAAAAAAGAACATCACGTGCCCAGAATGGAAAATTAGTAAAGCAGATGTTGAGATATTAAATCTGTAGTCTAGAGCTATGATTGTGCAGGAAAGCTTACATGACCTTTGGAAAGGAGGAGGCTGGTAGCACAACCCCAGTATTTCTATTTCATGTTGCAGATAGGGAGCACACAGCTGCTGGCAAACCGGAAGGGATCCGCACACAGGTTCTAGATTTTTAACATGATAGTAGGAAATTAATCTAGTTCATTTTCTTTGACCCTGAGCACTGTTCTTTGCATTTAGGGGGGTGGGTCCTCTGGTACATGTCACCTGTAATGCAGATCCGAAACCCTTTTTCTTATAAATAAAGCAAATTAATTGCCCACTAGAAAACACATGGATTCAGGAACTAGCGGGAACAACACATAAATAATTGTTTTTATTTGTGTCTCTCTTAGTAGATAGTGTGACACAATTTTTGGCCAGCAGGGCTTAAAACTGGATTTCATGAATGCAATTCCAGTTTTTGTTCATTTTTTGTATTTATGTAACATTTAGCAAAAGTTGGCACAATTATAAGGATTACACAGCTATTAGAAGGAAAAGTCAGAGTTGGCATTACAGAATTATACACACATTATCAAACTCTCTGCTGCAAACTGCTTAATTATTTGGAACTACAAAGTTGTTTGATATTTCTCAAAAAGAAAATTGTTCCAAAACACTGGACTCTGAATTTTCCAAGGCAGGCAAAAGCAAGCAATAAAAGCTGCTAATTCCTTCACACGTACATTTTACACAAATGCATGGGTCATTTAGGGGGAGGGTCCGGCATTAGCCATATGGTACAAACTGTGTAACTTGAATGGGGAACAATCGCTACTGGTCCACTCTTCAGAATTCAGACCCAATGCATGGTGGAACCATATTTCAAGGGCTGGTGTGAATGAGTCAGCTCAAGCGACTCTCCCTCCCTCGTCCCTTTCCCCTGAGACGACCTGGGTCAAACTCATCAGCAAATGGAGTGAGTTTTTGTGACAGGTCCAGGGACCCTTGGATGGAGATTAACAGAACAACCTCAGTTAGAGGATCAACAGTTATGACTTCTGTGACCAAGTATTAGCATTAAAAAGCCTCTAGTCACATAAAAGTGACCCCAAATGACAATGTCAACCTTAATACCAAATCATGCATAAATTTGACAATAACAGTTGTCCTGTGCTGCCAATATATCTTAGTCTACAAAGCATATTGGATGATGTTATTTTAATACTTGTCCCACACTTAGAAAGTGGGCGATTCCCTGATTCTAGGCAATTGAGCACATATGCGAAATAATTTCCTGAATCTAAGAATTTTAGCATATCTATCCAGACTTGAGAGCTTTATCACTGAAGAACAAGTTTCCTAAGAATAAAAGAAGAATTCAAGAGTCATTGGCCGTCACTTGAAATTGGCTATTTTAAGGGCTTTGGGAAAATAAAGCTGACCATAAAGCCTGGCAAAAGAAAGGGTTTCAAAGAGACCAATATTTGGACTTGGTGTGCCCAAGGTACAAATTCTGCAGAGACGAACGCATGCTTGAAGTCCCTACATATTTCAGCATTTGCTGTTGAGCTGGGGACATCTTGGGCTCTAAGCCTAATCTTGGAATTCAATAGTGTTAAGCAAAGAATATTGACCAGAAAATACCAAAGTTAATTTTCCAAAGTTTTATTCCCCCAAATCACATGCAACGACCCCACCTACTGATGCTTAATGATCTGCTGACAGAGGTCGGTTTATAATAAAGAGTGTAGCCTCCTCTTTTCCAAAAATGGCTCCTTGTGCTTTTATTGCACTCAGATATCACAGGAAGGGAAAGGAAAAATAAAAGATGAGGTGAGGGAGGGATGGAAACACTGCACGAAGGATAAACTGTAAAGCCGGCCGATCAATATTTACCCTTAGAAGAGGCAGGGAGGGAGGGAGGGAGAGAGAGAGAGAGAGAGGGAGGGAGGGAGCGCGCGCGCGCACCCGGGAGAGAGGGTGTTAGCCAAGAAACAGGGACAGGGGCTCGAAAGTCGCCGTGTGCGAGGAGCTGTTGATTGTTTTCTGGTTGAGAGAAGTGATGATAAGGCTGGGATAAAGTAAGCGCCGGGAACGGGGCACGGAGCCCGGCAGCTGTATGCTAATGCTCGCAGAAACCAAGCCTCCGCGTCCCCCATTAAAGCAGGCGACCAGGAGGCCACACATCACTGAACAAATAGGCTCTCTCTAGACAAATAAAATAACACACGTTGGCCTGTGGGGAGGGGGCGAGAGAGGAATGGGGGGCAGAGTAAGAGGGGAAAAGAGTGGGAGGAGAGCGAAGGAGGGGGAGAGAAGGGAAGAGAGTGGCGGAGAGGAGTGGGAGCAGGGAGAGAGGTGGGGGAGAGGGAGGGAGACAGGACAGCAACCCGGACGGAGAGGTGAGGGGGACAGACCGAGAGGCGAGGGACAGGAAGAGAAGGGGGAGAGGAAAGACAGAAGAGAGCTGAGGGGAGAGGGACACAGAGAGATGAGGGAGAGGTGAAACAGGTGGGGAGCCAGAGTGGAGGGGAAAGAAGGGAAGGGACAAGGGGGGAGGCAGGGAAAGTCAGGGAGAGGCAGAGAAGGCGGGAGAGAGGGTGAGAGGAGGACGGAGAGGGAGAAGCCGGAGAGAGCGAGGGCGGGAGGAGCGGACGGTGGTGGTGGGAAGAACACCCTCTCCAACCCGAAGAGCGGGACCCAGGCGGGAGCAAAAAGTGCGCCTCGCTGGCCCCGAGCCCGGATGCCTCCAGGTCCCCCTCCACCCCCACCGGGGCAGGCGAGGCGGGGAGGAGCGGGAAGATGCGGTTGCTCGGGTTTGTGGGCTCCTTTTCTGAGACGGAGGCGCGCGGGGCGAGAGGCCGCCGGTGCCTCACGGGTGGAAGCAGATCTCTTTTGCGCCCCTAGTTCAATGTCATCTTGGTCCGTTCAGTGCCTTCCCGACTCTTTCTGACATAATTCTCTGGTTACGACTGTCCCACATTTCCTGGCGTCGCCTTTGCCAGCTTTGGCCAACACCGCCCTTCCTGCCGCCCCGCTCGGGCCCTAGTGCCCCCTCCTCCGACCGGGACCCGGACAGTCCCACCGAGGCAAAAACAAACAGCCCTGAGGGCACTTCAAGGAGCGTGCAGTGGCCCCGACGGCACACGCGGGAGGATAAAGGAGGCGGCCAGCCACCCAGTCGGCCCCCGGCCGAATAATGGGCGCGCAGCAGATTGCCAGGGGCACTTGAAACTCGAGGGGAGGGAAATAGTTGAGCGCGGTCCCTCCCCGCGCCGGGCGCACGGCGCAGCCTCGCGGATTCTCCCTTGTTCGTTCTCTTTCATGCACTCTCCTTTTGTGTGGAATTATTTAAACGGGAGATCCCTGGCAGCTTTATGCTAATGCGCCGAACAAAGGCAACGGCCCGCGGGCGGGGGGCCCGGAAGGTGCCCCGAGGCCGGGCCAGGCGGGGCGGCGGGCGGGCGGGCTGCGCGTGTCTCTCGCGTGCCCCTGGGACTGACACAACAACCCCTCATTCCAGCAAACACAAAGCCTCTCCCAGGCCCCGGACCGGCGCGCAAGGCGCACAGAGGCGCGGGCCTCTCCGGGACCCAGCGGCGGGCACTGCAGCGGTAACGCGCGGCTCCTGCCGGGTCGTGGCTTGTGGGGACCGAGGGCCAGGAGTAGGGGCTTCTGTGAAGCCAGGTCTGCAGCAGAGTGGGGACACGGGGGACGCTGACAACTCCCCTCCTGCTGTCCCCACACGCCCTACCTGACGTGGAGTGAGAAGGCGGACCCGCCCGTCTCCTCCCGTGAGTTCAGAAGCTGTCTGTACTCCTCGACACCCCAGGGAGCCAATTCCTCTGCCGAAGTTCCCCGCTTTAGCGCTTATTTCCAAGCGTCACGCTTTGTAGAATCTCCCTGGAGTCTTGACTTTCACTCGGAACCGAGCCGGGGGTCACAGTGAACCCCGGCGCGCGCCCTGCACACCAGGACCGGAGAACTTGGAGCGCCTGCGGCCTCCAACTCCGCAGCCTTGGGAGGAAGAACCCACAACGGGGTCTGCAAGGACAAGAAGCGAAGAGGCCCCCAGATTTTTACAAAGCGCAGGCCAGGACCCCGCGGAGAGTAAAGAAGTTGGCTGGAGTGGGGCAAGCACACTTCGGTGGCCTGCCTTGAATCCTTATGCTCACCGACTCCCGTGAAGCCCTCCTAGGGGGTGGCAAATCAACGCTCACTCAGTGTTTCCCCCAACTTAACTCCACGCGGCCCTTACTCCGAATCGCAGTGCGCAAAGGCCGGCCACGGGGGCGCAGTGCGGCGGCGCTTTGCTCTTCCCAGAGAAAGACAATCCCGACCCGAAGTCCCCATGCCTGCGGACGCGCAGATTCTGAGAAAATCACACAGAAGGCGGCGGAGATCCACAAGCTGGTGCTCGGCTGCACCTGCTTGGACGTTGCTGTGTGCGTGCGCGCGCGTAGCCTAATTCTTGCCCAGCCCCGGGAGACGAAATGAGTTTCCAATACTTGTACCTTTCGAGTTTCCAGTTATTTTGACCGTACCCGTCTGAAAGCAGGTTTCATTTCCGCTGAC